TTTTCTTTAAAAAAAAAATAAAACTAACACTTGCTTCTCTATTCTTTTTCTATTCTATCTGTTTTCTTTTTATTTATTATATGATTTAAAAAAAAAAAACTTGCTACATGTACTGCATTAAGCTAACTGAGACTTGTTATAGCACTTGCATATCATTGCTCTTTTGTTGATTTTGATTGCTTTCATTGTCCTCATTTGTAAGTCGCTTTGGATAAAAGCATCTGCTAAATGTAAATGTAAATGTAAATATTGGCACACAAGCGAGAAAACTTACTTTTTTGCACTTCTGAGAATAAACACTGAACTTTTGATTTCATTGTCACATCACTTCATTTTTACGCCTCCATCTGCCGGTACATTTAGAGCAGTGGTGATTATACTGTTTGAAACATCTCTGTGCCCCTTTTTTTGCAGTTGTCACACCACTGTCTCTCTTGCAATAACGATATTTGATGCTCTGAGCATTGAGGGACCGGTAATAGATGCAAGGCCTCAAGCCCCCATCCTTCTTGTTGACGAAGAAGAAACTTGATGTGGCAGGGGAAGTAGACGGACGAATGAACTTCTGTTTCAGAGCCTCTTCAATGTACTACTCCCTAGACTTTTGTTCCGGGATGGACAAGGGACATGAGTCGCACTGAGCAGTCTGGCACATGAGAGATGGATGGAATCCACTTGCATGGGCTCTGGTGCTGGAGGGCTGGCAGAGTGGGTTGCGAGCAGAGGAGCTGCAGCGGGAATGTTGGAGGTAATGTCAGCGAGCCTCTGAGAAATCCATATTGAGCGTTGGATGAAGGCCTCTAGTCCAATTATGTCATCATAGATGGCCATTTGTTGACGGATCTGCAGGTACAGACAGTGTCGATAAGCGGTTAAGAGGGCTGTCTCGTTCCAACCACTCGTTGCTGTGAGTGTACGAAACTTTTCCCTTGCCGTAGACAGAGCCGTTGATTGTTAACAAAGAGGGTATTAGCAGTTTGACCAAACACTTCTTTAAAATGGGTGGTAAAGGTCGTCAGAGCGCTGTTAGCTGGGCCATTGTCATCCCAAATCACTTTAGCCCATTAAAGAGCTCTTCCTGATAGAAGTGAAATTATGTATGCTATCTTGGCATGGTCTGAAGAGAATAAGTGAGGCTGAAAATACAGGGAGCATTGGAGAAGAAAACCGTTGCATTCCTCCACCTCACCACTGTAGGGCGCTGGCCGTGCCATGGGACTGTGGTGTGGTGGTAAAGAAGATGGAATGGTCTGTGGGGGTAGAGATTGCCGTACAGCCTGTATGAGTTCAGCGAATGGGTCTGATACAGGGCGATGAACATCGCTTGGGTCCAAGATGTGTTGTCGGTCTAGTCTTCTGTCACAACAGAAGAGGATAGATGGCAGATAAGCTCAACACAGATCTTTAATTAGCAGTGCAAGCAATGGAGGCAAGCGATGCACAGCAAAGGTAAGTATCACACAACACCGTAAATAGTAATTCAGCAGAATGGAGGAATGAACAGTCTTTAACTTGCAGGTACAGGCAGTCGGACGAGAAGGCAGAAGACGATGAATCCAAACTTGAATCAGGGACCACAAGATGAGTCTAGGAGCATGATCAAAGGTAGAGAAGAGACGAGACTAGACAATGGTGACTGGTGCAGTGAGTGCTTATGAATGGTGGGTAATGGTGTGAGTGATTAGAATTCCGGGGAGAGTGAATGAGCGGGTGGAGTGCAGAGGTATGGCGCTGCTCTGTTGGTTGACTCCGTGACAGATGTCAGTGATGATACAAATGCTGAATCTGTGTTTATGTTCCCAGAAAGGAAAAAAAAAAAGAGAAAAACAGAGGCAGAGTGAAAAAGACTAATGCTACTGATTGGAAGTGAACAGCACTACCGTTTTTTCCGCTAGTAATATTACATCCAAACTTCACTTAATTTAATTTATTAAGTCACTTAATTCACTTGTATTTTAAAGAGCAGACAGCATTCTGACCAGACCCTGATGTTCTGCCATTCTTTGCCCTTATTCCAGTTGTCATCCCAGTCAACCCATCAATCAACCACAACAACAGTGCACTGTACAACTAGGATCTACAAATCAGCAGCCAGAAACCTGGTTGTGGTGTCCAATTGGCCACTTCACCACAACCAGACAACCTTGGAGGTTCAACTTTAAGACATCAGGAAAATCAGACACTTCTTGTCATGTTACTTTGACCTCTACTTTTCTAATTCAGTTTGAGAAACCTCTTTTTTTTTACAACAATGAATATCTAAAAATGTTACACAAAGCTTAGTGCCCTTCAAATGGAATAGTGAGTTCCTCTATCTTTTTGCTTCACTCAGAACACATGAGTGTGTTCAGCACATCTGTCACTATGGACAAGAAATGAGCTGTTCTCAAATCCTCAGCCAATCCCTGCATTAAACTGAACACACACAAACAAATGATCATAGCTCCTGACAACTGTAAAAACATTGATCTAACATGCTTCATGGCAACAGTAAATTCAATTTATTACTGTTGTTTACCTAAAAACAGTTCATCTCCTGAACTGGTCTCCAGTTTGATTGCCCATGCTGCAAACATGACATACTGTAATTAACTCCTGCCCATTAAAAATACAATACAACCACTTAATTACTGAGCCACAGAACAACAACAGAGAGTTGTGCAGAGCAAATGAGAACACAGATGAACACAAGATAAACAAATGGCTCAGTTCCTTGACATATCAGTAAATATCAGGATTCAGAAACCCTCTGTTGAAATGTCAAACTCCCAGCTTGCAATCTGGCAAAACATGAATAAAAGATGTCATAAATGGATCAAACTGGTTGCATTTCATATATGGGGTAAACCAAGATCAAGATCAAGGGAATCAGATACACTAATCACACACTTGTGGTGACCCTGCACTGGAACAACTGCATCACCTGAAGGGAATGTGGGTCATGGTGAGGATCAGGCCCTGAGCCCTGGATGAATGGCCTGCTAAATAATGACTTAACTGTTTGTTTTCAAACAATGACCTCAAAAAGTATTTAAAAACCTAAGCCCCACTTAATATGGACAAATTTAATTGTGTTATATCAAACTAAGTAGCATTTGATACTAGACATTTTCTATTCATTTACTTTATAATAATTTTTTTTTTTTTTACCAACTGGGCAAAGACATTTTTAGTTCACTTCGGTGTCAATTCTTGAACAGTATATAAACTATTTTGAAAAGTAGTGTTTAAGGGGCTGGGTGATGAACAACTTAACACTCAAACCTCATCATGTCCTTACCGTTACCTATAAAAATAGCAGCTAGTATAAATGAAACTGTTCAGTGAAGGTAAACACAGAGATAATTATAGTAACTCAAGAGTATGAACAATCATACATTTTGACGATTTGACGATGAGTATCTGCAGTGTCAGTCCCATTCTGTAAGCACTTCATAAAACTGCATGTGGCTCACTTGGATGTGTTTAGAAGTTTCCGACACAACATCAATTTCAGATCACAGATTAAAAGTTGTATAAACAAAGAACAATCACATTGTGTCAGGGTGATGATTCAAGATTTTTTCCCTGAATCAGTGAAAAAGAACAGACCACTGAAAGTTCTTTTTTTTTTTTAATCCTCAGCTTTTCCCAAGCCCTCATTAAAAAGAATGTTTGTGCTTTAAAAGCACATTCTTTAAAACAAGTGCAACTTGGTTTGATGTGCATCTATGCATCTACGACCAGCAGTAGTATTCAGGCAGAGAAGATACCTTATCAAGGATGAGGGCAGCTTCATTGGTCTGTCTGTCAGTCACTAGAGTAAAGACCTCCTCCTCATTCCCAGATTCAAGTCTGTAGTCCACCTGCCAGCTGTCCCCACCCCACTCATCCGCATCCCATGCCGACACTACAGTGACTGTGGTGCCCACTGAGGAATCCTCAGCCAGGTGGAAGGGTCCATACTAGAGAGACAGAAATGAATTAAAGATTTCTAAGATACTGTATGCAATTATGATAAAAATGGAGAATAGAGAAAGCATTAATAGGTCTGTGATTAGAAACCACAATATTTGTAACAACTTTATGAAGTTAGCCTTTAAATAAATGATACAGTCGTGGTCAGAATTGTTGGTACCCTTGGTAAATGTGATCAAAAAAGGCTGTCAAAATAAATCTGCATTGTTAATCCTAATGATCTTTTATTTTAAAAATTTACAAAAATCTAACCTTTCATTGAAGAATAAGAATTTAGAATGGGGGGAAATCTCATTATGATTTTCTTTTCTCTAATACACGTTGGCCACAATTAATGGAACCCTTTTAATACTTTGTGCATCATCCTTTTGGCAAAAGAAGATATTTTGAAGAATGTTGGTAACCAACCAGTTGACAGTAGCCATTGGCTTCCACAGAATGGGAAAAAAAATACTATGGAAGTCAATGGCTGTTTGGTTACCAACATTTTTCAAAATATCTTCTTTTGTGTTCAGCAGAGGAAAGAAACTCATACAGGTTTGGAACAAGTGGAGTGCGAAAAAATGATGACAGAATTTTCATTTTTGGGTGAGCTATCCCTTTAAAATTATCAAAAGTGACAGTAAAGACATTTATATTGTAACAAAAAAATATATTTCAAATACATTCTGTTCTTAAGCAGCACAACTGTTTTCAACACTGATAACAATACAAAATGTTGTGCATTTTGTACAACTAAACTCCTAACATACAGACATGACCTTCTAAAAAATGTTTCTACTTTAAGAGAGTGAAATAAAAATAAGGAAACCAAAGAACCAAATTGTTAGCTGAATGTGGCATGACAGTGTCTAGCAGGAGAGTAGAACATGTGTTTGTGAATATTTCTGCAAACAATGCTGTTCATTAATGTAAGTACAGCACCATTCATCAAAACATCATTCATCTAAGAAGTTTTGGCTGCATCACAGTTCCTAAAATTCATTGTCAACTAAATTAGGGGATACATAATGAAAATGAAAGGCACACAGCCAGTGAGGTGAGCTTTATGGATGTTTCCAGAATGCAGAACAGAGCAAGTCTTGCTCTTCTTTCAAAGCGGATCTAAATATACCTGCTGAATTCAAGCCAGCGCCACTGCTGCTGCCCTCCATCTTCACACCAGCACTCTGTCTGCACAACGCGTACATCTCCTGTATTATTCACAACACGTAGGCGTAAACACGCAGGGTATTTTCCAGAAATCAGGGACCACTGCCTGCCTACATCCTGCATCTGCTCTTCATCTCTCCTTTTGCTCATCTCTTCCCATCATTTTAGTCAGTGATCATCTCACTGTTTATTATTCAACTCGGCTGCATCAGTGAACAAAGATGATGACATAAGAAAGGCGCTTAGGGCTGTTCTGCATGAGTGAATGCGCTCATGTAGCATAAATAGATAACGCTACAAATTAGTAAGTGGTCATATTTAGAACATCACCTCAGGATAAGAAATATTTCCAAAAATAGGAGAATCAGATATGTTATGCAAACATTTGAACTTAAGCTCCACATTAACATCACAGCACAGTACATTATATTTCATTTGTTTACTCAATGTAATTATGTACTGATATTAACATTCTGGCTTATACAGATAAGATGATAATTATTTAATTGCTCTGGTCAATGACCAAATGTTTTTTAATTCATAATCATTTTCCTATTAATTAAAATTCATATTAAAATTTGACACTATTTTCTCTAAAATAAGAGAGAAACTTCAATTAATCCTATACAGTAAATTCTACAAATGATTTTAGGTTTCGCAACATAAAAAAAAAAAACTGCATTAAAAATATATATTCATTTTGAGATTAGATACAATTACATTTAACAATTAACTATTAAATTGAATGAATGAATGAGTGAATTAATTAATTATTTAATTTAATTATTACATTTTTATTTATTAATAAATTAATAAAGATGTATACATTTTTAGACTTAACGACTTTACTTTTGCCACCACACATTCACCCAAAATCAAAAATTCTGTCATAATTTACTCACCCTTGTGTCATTCCAAATAATTTTTTTGGAATGAGGAACATAAAACAAGTTATTTTTAAGAATTTGGTTACCAAACTGTAAAAAATACAATATAAGTCCATTGGAACCGAAACTGTTACCAGTGATCTTCAAAATATCTTCTTTTGCATTCCGCAGAAGAAAGAAATGCATACAGGTTTGAAATGAGAGTAAGTCATGATGGTGGGTTTTTGTTAAATGTGAGCCAAAATCATCACAATTAAAAGAACCAAAGACTTAAACTACTTCAGTCTGTGTGCATTGAATTTATTTAATACACGAGTTTCACAATTTGAGTTGAATTACTGAAATAAATGAACTTTTCCACGACATTCTAATTTATCGAGATGCACCTGTATTCAACATCAAGCGATACCAATAAATTAAAAATATATAATATAGAGTTGGCTGATAATTGATATGATATGCATCATTCATTCCTAAATCTAATATATTTTCAGGTAGAGATATAGTACCTTGAATATAACAATCTTGAATATAACGAAATAAATCCATAACTCAGTAATTAGAAACGATATAATAAAATTGAATGACAAAATGGCTTGCAAGCAAGCAATCAAAGATATGAGATCATTACTGGAGAAATGCAGAATTCATCTGAATAAACTTAATTGGTGTCATCCAATTATAGCTATGAACACTGTTCATTTGTAGTGCTCAAACCTATAAAAAGAAACACTCCCAGCTAAATTATTACATGTCCATAAGCCTGAGATTAAAGCATGGATTCCCCCTGAAAGCTCTTTATCTCAGTGATCTCTGTAAATCACATTTTCTAGAACACAGGTCTTGTACAAACACACACACTAACAGATAAAGAGAAATAAAGGGAGAAATAAGTCCACCTGCCAGCTGAGATGACAGCAAAAAACAAAAAAACAAAAACAAACATCAAGTGTCTAAAGGGAACTGATCTCATTCACAAAACTGAAAATAATATATAACAAAAACAGCAGTACCCATAGTGCACAGTCCATACCTCATGATGGGAAAAGATTGGTGGGTTGTTGTTTTCATCCAGAACTTTGACTATGACAGTGCAGGAGCTGTTCAACCCTGAGAAACAAGTCAGAGAACATATTGATTATCTGTTAATATCAATTAATATCAGGCGACATAAAAAGTCTTGCAAGATCTCACGTTGCTGTGTGACAGTACATCAGATTCTACATGGCATACTATTTATGTCAGCTGACACACTAGTCACACTGTGTGTGTGTGTGTGTGTGGAAAGAAAAGTGACATTTTGAGAGCCATTATTTGGGTCCATAAAATTACAGAGATCAATTATAGCAGCTCCATCATGCTGCATAACTACAGTAACTACCTCAAGTGTTACATGAAATTATGTTTGAGCATCACAATGTGAAATCTGAAAAAAGGTGTCTCTAATCACACAAACCAATCAGAGAAAATGGCACAAAAGGACACCAGTTATATTAAGTGGTGCCATTTTGCAAGACTAATTTAGCATTGATCAGTGTTGGTGATGTGTCGACCTTTAGCGTCCTCTGCCGTGATGGTGAGTGTGTACTGTGGAGCGGTGCCCTCCATGCTGTCCGCCTGCACTGTGATCACTCCCGAGTCCCGGTCCACACGGAACAAATTCCGGGGAGTCTCAGGCATCTGGCCCACCAGCCGATAAAATATCCGCACGTTATCGGTTTTCGGATCGTCGTTGTCAGCTGCTTGGACTGTGAGAATCTCTGTACCTGCGAGCAGAAGATCATACCACTCGCTAACGTGCTTTGTTTTAGTATTTAAATAGCATTTATATAGTGTGGTTAACCTTTAGTCGCAAGCTCCTTGACCACCGTGTGGTACTGCATCTGTGGGAACGTGGGCCTATTGTCATTGGCGTCCCCCACCATCACTCGCAGCTCCACAGGCTTAGCAATCTCTCTGCCATCTGGCCTCTCTACCACTATGTTAATATGAAACTAAAAGGGAAAAGGGATTCTTGTGAATTTTCATTTGCAAAGAAAACAGTATGTCTTCTGCCGATGTATTATAGTCATCTGTGGTCTAGAGTGCATGATGAAGAGAAATCATGCTCACTGAAATCCCAAATATACTATATATTGAATAGAAAAATTATTAAAAAACAAAATAGAAATTTTGTTTCTCTGTGTCGAATACACCTGTTGGCTAAAATTCAAAGGCTTGCTTATAAATTTGAAGATGTTCTGTCACTTAAAAAGTGGCTACACTCTTAAAAATAAAGGTGCTTCACGATGCCATAGAAGAACCTTTTAGTCTAAATGGTTCCATAAAGAACCTTTAACATCTGAAGAACCTTCCTGTTTCACAAAAGGTTCTTTGTGTCGAAAGAAGGTTCTTCAGATTATAAAAAGGTAAGAAAGAGATGGTCTTTAAAGAACCTTTGACTAAATGGTTCTTTGCGGAACCAAAAATGGTTCTTCTATGGCATCGCTTGAAGAACCTTTTGAAGCACCTTTATTTTTAAGAGTGTAGTTATCTGAAGGCGGGGAATCTCCAGTAAGCAGACATATTTACATTGGAACATCTTAAGACATTTAGACAACGTTCACACTGTCAGTGTTTGGGACTGACAACTGCATTTACTTTTAGCGTGAGTCTTAAAATGTTCGGTTCAATCAGCAGTCTGAATGTGCAACTGAAGTCAAGCTCGTATTCTATTTGTGACTATCACCTTTAACCATAGCGACAGTGACTAAAGCCGATTTTAAAGATGGTGACATCCAAAATGGCAAAGTCTTATCACGTGACACGGCAAGAGTTCAACTGAGGCGTTCCATGTTAATTAATCAACAGAAGGTTTATGCCTCAGTAAGCAGAGGATTTGAGTCACTCGCAGACCAAATAAACTGTGGAGGACGGTGACTGGATCTAAACCTTCAGATGACACAAAGCTCATATCCACGTCTCTGAATATTACTGAAACCATACATGAAAGCCCACAACATGTCACAGAGGGGCTCTCTCACACTGTATAATGTGACGTACGACTAGTTATGAGTCCTGAAAATTTACTGGTGTGAGTTCAGTTATAGAACGCGACTGTCACTCTCGTAAATAAATACAATTTGTTTGAATGCAACCATATTAATGACTCAAATACTGGACTGGCAGCTGCATTTTGCTGCTGAGTGAATGTGGCCTAATGGAGTTACATGGCTGGAGGAGTGAAGTCATGTAACATCACTGTGTGATCAGTAACAAACAATTGGGATTTAGAATGGTATATTTAGGAACAGTATTTATTTACTAGTTCATATAATCCTCAAGCATGACATAGGATTTGGTGTGCTGTCAAAAACGTGTGCAGGACTCGGCTCAAGCTTTAACATGGACTACTGGTGGACTACTTGATTTAATAAATAAATATAAATGGATAAAAATGACCATCAATAAATGATATTGGAGTGTGGAAAATAAATGGAGCTGGAGCAACACCAGATTGAGGTTTTACAGTTCTCACTCTTGTTCTCTTATCATTCAAATATCAAAAGCAAAACAACAAAAGTACATACGAGATTAACTATTGCACATTAGAGTTTCTGTAGTCATTCTGTTTTTATAACATTCAGAGAGGGTTTAGCACATATAGTACTGATGTAAACATATACAAGTATGACAGAAGTTTTTTTTTTTATCTTTCACCTGGTCCTGTGTTTCTCTGTCCAGAGGAGCATTCAGGTAAATGATTCCTTCCCTGTTGATAGTGAAAAGCATTTCTGGAAACTCTCCCTCAAGACTATACTCAACTGGACTGCCACTCCACTTCACCTGCAAACACACACACACACCCACACACACGTTGGTATTGGGACTCTAGGCATAATGGTTTTTATACTGTACAAACTGTATTTTCTATCGCCCTACACCAACCCTACACACAACCCTACCCCTCGCAGGAAACTTTGTGGATTTTTAGATTTTCAAAAAAAAACACCATTTAATATGTTTTTAAAGCCTTTAGAATACCGGGGACACAGGTAGTGTCCTCATAAACCACCTTCATTTTGTAATACCTGTGTCATACCCATGTCATTATACAAATTTGTGTCCTCATAAACCACCCAAACCAGTGCGCACACACTCACAAAATACACAACATAACCAATCAATACTACTGAAGACATTAACAGTAGTTAACTTGAATGAACATGTTTACCCAAAGGCCGATCTTAAAATCAAGATTGCTTTCTTTATACAATGCTCACACAAGGCACCTGTGAGGGCACCATCCAAATGGCTTGGACATCAGATTTAAACAAAGATGAGATACAGTGTTTGAGGAAAACCCTGCCTGTTTAGGCACTGCTGAGAGTTAGCTGATAAGTGCGGTGAGGCCGGCACCTGCCAAAACAAACCAGCTGCCCTCGCGATGGAGGGATTTTCCACTGCACTGCGACACATGATGCAAACGGTCCTGGAAAGGGTGTGGAAACGCACCGAAGAAGGAGAGGACCCTGTAGAGGGGAGAGTGAGGGGGATATGTGTATCTCCTCAGTACCTCACCCTCCAACCGTTTGTTATGGAGATGGCTCTCCAAACTCAAGCACTTTGTATACATCAGTGGGCCTCTCTAATGATGACCTGCCCACACTGTTATGAACCGTCAAGAGCAGGGCTTTGAAGAGATTAATGTGTGTCGTCCTGCTGTTCTAAAAATGGTGAGCACCGACTAAGGTGATGTCATCTATTTAGTTTCCAAAGCCTGTTTTTGATAGAAGTGATAGAATCCTCTTAGGACGAGTCAGTTCATGCCTTTGATGTTTAGTGCTGTGGATTGACAAGAGAGAGTGTTAACAGTTGGATGTTGAAAATATATTCTTGTGATAAGGAGTTCATCCATGCACATTGAGGAGATGCAGGTTAATATGGAAGCCCTAGGAGACCATTATTATTTTTGTTCTGTTGCGTTTTCTTACGATCACAAGAAAATAAAAAAAATACTCACCCTTTCACCGATCAGTCGGAAATAATTTAATCGCATCTGACAAACATCATTCTATAATCATGCAGGAGTCCTGGACACTTGATTTGGCTAACAACTAAATTAATCAGTTACTATTGTGTCTATGATGATGAAGTTGTATCCTCCTACTCCTCCTCCTCAAGTGTTACTGATACTGATTTGGAAATGCTTCATCACTGAGTCACAGTAGTGAATCTCTGATCAAAGTAATTTAAAAATAAATAAATACAAATAAATTGCTCATCCATGATGCAGTCATATACCGGTATATTGGGGTTATAAATGGAAAAAATGAGGGGAAACAACTTTTATTTCGAGATCCTGATAAGCAACATTTGTTGTGTTGAATTGGTAGACAGGAAGTTATGCCTTGAGACAATTAGTTCCTTATAGATGTTTCTGTGAAGGACAGAATAATCAGGCTTCTTCTAAACTAATGTTTAGAACTTAATTAAAATGCAGCACAGTATAATCCAAGCACCCTGAAGAGTGTTTCCTGTTTAAGCAAGACATTTTTTTTACCAGCATCTTGCAAAATAAACCACAGAGTATCACAGATCACAGATTTACTGGAACAATGCCATTTGTTTTTAGCCTGGAGCTTCATGACATCCTCCACAGACTTGATTTAAAATGCTTCTGCTGTCACCCTATCTGTCTCTCATACACACTCAGTCACAAACAGCAAATTGTGACTCTTGAGCTGTGATTTGCCATGTAGGGTAAATTTGAGCAAAAAATAAATAAATAAATTGGAGAGAAAAATTTGATTGCACTATTGTGGCATCAGCACAACACATTCCCCCAGTTTCACAGACAAGGCCTAATTGAACTATGGCCTAATCCTGGCTTAGTCTAAGCCCTGTCTGTGAAACCAGGCCAATATCTATGAAATGGGGATTGGGCAAGATACTCAGTTTAACTGCTCTCCTGAATTGTGTCACCCCTGTATTTGGTGGATTTGAGTGAGAGCAAACAAACAAAGCTGACATCCCAAGCTGAAGTCATCCACTAAGCATTATGATCAAATAAAGCTCTTTATCTGAAATGCCAAAAGGGTTTTGTCGGAACACGTGGAGTTAAGAGGATTGAGATACACTTTTTTTATGTTTATTTCAAAAATGGAAAAAGATGAAATGAGGAGAGCACAGGCGATGCTGTCCAGCAATGTTGCTATGAGAGACAGAGAGAAATGCACGACATGCAGACTCTGAGTCCTTCATGACCACTAATCTGTTTCATAACCAGTGTAACTACAGCCACCCACATGCACATCACAGCACACACAAGTGGGTGGGAAAAGGCTCTTCCCATTTAAAAAAAAAGAAGAAAAAAAGTCAAGTCAAACCCAGCAAACACATAGCACACGTATGATTGTTCCTTATCTGACTCCCTTACATCAATAGTACTTTGACGGAAATTAATTTAAATATAATGCAATGCAATATCAATCCGATGTTCCATTACAGCATATTTTTGTATTAAGATTATATTGCTTCATATTTTATATTAAGATTAAGTTATTTTTTATAAGATTAAGTTATATATTAAAATGCAGTTAAAATTGCACATATCAAAACCAATACTATAATAAAGAACAGTATTTCCAGATCCTCACCAGTAAGCCTCAAGTACCCCTTCATCCACATCACTAAAATGATATATTTTTCTTATTAAAAAGTATCAATGTGGGTAAATAAATAAATAAATAAACTCCAAACTCACAAAAGCACATATTCTTTTACAAATGTCATTCAAAGGAATTAACTTGCACACATTTAGCATATTACTCTGTTTTCTTTTCTTAAAAGAGGCCTGAAAAATTATGATATCATGATTATTTCTTGTAATCTACTGATAGCCCTAATATTTTAAAGTTGGAATTTTATGTTTTAGGTTTAAAAAGCAACATCGAAATCTTCCACCCTGCTTGAGTACATATAGCCCTGGTTGGGAAAGGAAAGCATTTCCAGGAATTTTAGTGGGTGGAAAGGACGCTGGTGTGTGTAGGAGGCGCCCAGGAAGAAGAGAGAGGACGATCTTTTGCCACAAACCCACGAAACAACTTGTGACTGCAAAAGATTATTCTGCAAACACATATCATATGCACTTTCCCCTGCACACTGCGCAATTTCACTCTAATATCACTGGCTGTATTCAAGCAAGATTTCACCTTTGCTGGGGAAATAGATGCAGTAAAGATAAGTGCTAAGAGGCCAAAAGTAGATGCCCCACATCCACTATCATGACATCAGGTGTTTCATAGACAGTGACTTTGTGTTAAGATGGCAGTGAGTCGTGACTAATATAAAATCTGAACATCAAGCACAAGGTCATGTCATGATGAAAGCCATGTGCAATTGTGGGATGCTGCCACAGCTTGCCTTTGAAGAGGATGAATGCAATATAAAACAGACTCACCTATGTTAATATACACACACACACACACACACACACACACACACAATATCTATCTCATGCCTTCAGTACACCTAGAGTCATTCGTCATACACTCTTAAAAATAAAGGTGCTTCACGATGCCATAGAAGAACCTTTTTGTCTAAATGGTTCCATAAAGAACCATTAACATCTGAAGAGCCTTTCTGTTTCACAAAAGGTTCTTTGTGGCAAAAGAAGGTTCTTCAGATTATAAAAAGGTAAGAAAGAGATGGTTCTTTAAAGAACCTTTTACTGAATCGTTCTTTGTGGAACCAAAAATGGTTCTTCTATGGCATCGCTGTGAAGAACCTTTTGAAGCACCGTTATTTTTAAGAGCGTACCTGTGAGATTGGGATTGGATATGGTCCAGGCAGATTCTCCTGCAGTCTCACAGGGTCAGGTGAGGCCCACGCGTTCCCAGTCACCTCCACTAACACAGTTCCAGTGGAGAAGAAAGCGTTGGCCTTGCCGGCCATGTCCTGCACCATCACAGACAGCTTGTAGCGGCCACACATCTCTGGATCTAGAGTTGAGGCACCTGGACAGATGGACAGATAAAAAAAAAAAAAAAAAGTCTGACATACCAAAGATCAACAACACACCAACAATAGCTAAAAAGGGAAAATATATCATTGGTTTTATTTTCCCAACCGTTCCAATATTATTATTAATATTAACATTGTGAAGTATTATTACAATTTCAAATGTGCATTTTCTAATATATTTTAAAATGTAATTTATTCTTGTGATGGCAAAGCTGAATTTTCAACAGCCAAGTCTTCAGTGTCACATGATCATTCAGAAATAGAAATATTTTTAACAATGTACATTTATTTACTGTCACTTTTGAACAATTTAATGCATACTTGTTGAATATAAAAGTATTAATTTCTTTAAAAAATTTAAAAAATAAATAAATACTGACCCCAAACTTCTTAATGATGGAAGCGTAAGTCAGATTAAATTTCTGTTATTTGAATCAAACTGACTACATTTGGTTACACCACAAACAATTTAATTGTTTTCAATTGCACAGTTTCAGTTCTTGTAGTATAACTGAAAAAAAGCTATTTTTTGACATTCAGCAGTTTTGTTTATCACCTAACTGTTCCAGTTTATTTCTAAGGAGTGTTTAACACAAGATATATAATGCATAATAATAAACTTATTATTAATTATTCTTGACCAAATATATCAGTTGGACTATTAATTTAATTCATCCTAATCTTAGTCACGCACAAGCAGGAGTAGTTTATTACCATCCTCTGTAAGGGACACTTCTCCAGTGATGGAATTGATGGAGAACATGTGGCTGGCAGGGATGCGTGGTATCTGGTCCAGAAGACTGAAGCGCAGGTCCGCGTGGGCGGTGTTTCGGTCATCTCGGTCTAGTGCTTCCACCTGCATGAACGGAATTCCTGTGATAATGACACACACATATATCAGAATTATTTATCACAATCTACATGAACTGACACATTTAGATTGACAAGCAAATGGTGGCTATTTGCATATTAACAGAACTGAATTTCAAAAATAGCTTTTTCTTACAATTATATCATTTTTAATAATATATACAGGGTGAAAGGAGACAGGAAATGACAGCGAGAAGAGGGACGAATGGGACTGGCTGCTGTGCAACATATCAAAGCAAAGCTGTCGATTACCACTGAAAATAATTCCGTAATTATTGGCATGAGTTGACAGAGCTTAATTTTGTTGAAACCAGAATACATTCAAATTCCTTTAATTGCCCCATTCTTAATGTTTGATTGTAATCAAGTGACTGCAAAACGGCTTACAATCTCACAACTAGCCTGACATTCAACACAGGTCATTACTGATTTTCTATATTCAAATAATTGCCAATGTACATTCAACATAAGCGGATGACTTCACTGCACTGATAATAGATGTTGAATCATTATCATTGTTTGTTTCTTAAGTATGTTCGCTTTCTTCCTCAGCATGAAGCCTCTGAGGTCAGGGTACACGGGTCTCTTTATTGTGATGTTCCTAAAATAAGAGATGAGTAATCTCTGAATATTAATGAGCAAAATCATTTTTCATTTTGGTCTTGTAATTCACTCCAATCTCTGTTAGCGTTTCGGAGAAAACATTCAAGAACCTGAAGAACACATGAGTGTTAGTGCTTCAAGGGCATTTCATCTGTCATCACAGTGATGTACAGGTAAAACAGCTTGTTCTCATATCTAACAGACATAAAAAGCTCTTCATGTGTCTCATTATGGAAAGGAAAAAGAGGGGAAAACAGCCATTCAATTACGCCACACTAAGCTATTTCTAACTGCACTACTATGCTACTCTAATTTATGGTGTGTAAGAAACATGTGACATTCAGTCTATATCTCATTTAGCATCTCATGGCTGTAGAAAAAGTCAAGGCGATTAGGATAAGCATCAAGCAAAGGCCTGCTGAACGCTTCCCCACCCACCTTTGAGAAGCCCCAGCTGCACGCTGCCTCTCATGCTCTCTTCCAAGAACACTGGCACGTTGTCGTTCTTATCGATGACACACACCTCGACAGTAAAGCTCTGAGTGTTTATGGACTTTGTGAAGGACACCTGGGAAAAAAATGACTACGGTCAAATCACTCAAGCAGCATGTCTTATTAGAGCTCAAACCTTTTTGCTTCACGTTTCATTGGTCGGCAATTTTAGTCAGCATTTGTTATTTTGGCCTGCCACCGGATGTATTGGATGCAGATTTTTTACATGCTGAAAAATGACCTGAGTGGCATAGGTTTCATTTGAACATTAGGGAGACACTCAAGAAGCCATGCGCTGAAGCAGTCAATGCTGAATTTAAATGAATTTTAAAAGAATGAATGACAAAAACAAGTCTTCTTGAAATATAATTGATACATATGAAAGTGTCTCTTGATGTACTTTTAAAAACTTACATTAAATATGGGTCTAAGACAAAGGAACATTTCTTTATTGAATGATTTTTAACAAAAAGCTAATTCCTTTACGATTCTGCACCTGCAAAGAGTAAGATGGCTGCTTCTCTCTGTCCAGAGGTTTAAGGGCGTACAGGAAGCCTGACTCCACCCCAAAAATTCCTTCATCGTCACCACTTACAGTCAGATCAGAATAGGTCAGGGGGAGATCTGGCAACTGTAAAATCAAAATATGATTAATATATGAAACACATATTATAAATATCAATAGTGTGAAATTGTATGCTCTGCGTAGATGTCAAAAGATCTTCTGATGAACATCTAATGAACATCTTTTGCTTTATTCATTTGTTTTAACAGACACCATTATGTACTGTATAGTTTACACTTGGCATTAATGTGATCTCTGTATCTGGAATGTATGTTGTAAACGTATGTATGCATTAAAAAGACAAGTGTAAAAGCCTTTTTGAACTGCTTGTTATATCGAGAAATTTTGAAATGCAATTTGGGATTGGAAATCAGTGTACTCTTTTTAACACTATAGTCATCATATCTGCATTCAAATCACACAAACCCCACCCACTCCACCAAAGGCTTTACCAGGTCTGATATGCTCAGCCACCTGATTTCTTTTTAAAAGAATCACTAGCTTTGCATTGATGTAATTTCTGCAGTTGTCACTTCCAAAATTTTTGCAGTTTGTAGATAGCCATTGGTCTTTTTAGCAGCAACAAAAACTTTATTTTCAAATAGTGAATAGATTATACACAGCCACACACAAACACTCCCCTTATAATCACTGAAGCTGTGAATCCATTAACAGTCAATCAAGCTGTGTGCACTACACAAGGTTTATCTTATTTACATTGTGTCTGTACTTTGGCATTTTGAACAGGTGACATTCAAGTGTATCCGATTGGCCATTGTGTTCATGTGCTCTGTGATTGGTTATAATGTTCCAGGATGCAAAATAGCACATTGTAAACAAAAAGAACCTTTGCCACAGTGGTACTTAAACAGAATGCTGGTGTATCTGACACTTTTCACAGTTATGTTATTGCGGGAGCTGTGATCATAATCACTTTTTTTTGTTAATTGAATTATGCAGCCATAATTTTAATCAATTATCTGGATACTGAAGCTACTTTACTGTATGTGGATAAATTAAGCTACATTCTAATTGCTGATGATATGTGCTGCTTGATTAGATCACACTGAACACATTTTGCTGCCTACAAGTGCACGTGCTGGAAAACTCAGAGTCAGGCATTATTTATAATGACCTAATGAGTACAAGTAACACATACCATAACATGGAAGTACCCTAAACAAAACAAATGAATTATATTGTGAACAATAAACCCACATAACTCATCAGAATTCAAAATTATATATGGAAATATTATTTTTTGTCACTTACTGTATATAGGCTATCACAACTAGGCCTATCTGTGAAGCAAACCGTGAAAGTTGAATAATTAACACCATTCCCTACAGACTTACTTACTGATCTCTATATAGATTATACATATATCATCTATTTTATAGACCAGTGTTTCTGGCAAGTTTCAAATCAACACGTTCCTTCCAACATCACCTTGTGTACCATCTAGAAATTCCCACTTATGACTTGGCTTGGTCATTTGTGTGCTCAGAACTCATAATTATGATATCCCCAACTACACTTGAAGAGCACATTATTGGCTGTGAGTGTAAACACTGTTTGTGTAGTAGAAGCGGTCAGTGAGACGGTAATGATGTTTGGCTGACCGTTCTCTAGATGTCTGTGAATAAACATGGCTGCAACTGTTGACAGCAGTTATGTGGCTCAGTGGTTGACACCAATACATAGAGATTCTGAATTAAGCTGGGCATGAGGCTCCAAATGCTCTTTGTTCAGTACTGGCACATCCAATACAGGGTACAGTGTGCATGTGGTCACATATCTTAAATAGCACACGAACCTGCACAGTCAGTGTCATGCCAAAAATTCCCATCTGCCTGGCCAGTGAATTTGAAGTCTTTTGTTTGGTTCCTGGAATGTAATTCTGAAGATCTTTTTTTTCCATGCTTGCCTAGCATATTTAGAATAACATGCCAGTGAGTGTTTGTTAGGAAAGGTAAAGATTGATTGAAGTGCTGATTGCACACACAGCATGACTCGCGTGGCACTTTGTAGCTCGCCTTTCCCCTTGTTCAATCTGAAATGCTGCCTACACATCTGCACAGGATATCCAGTCTTTTAAACCCATGCTTGGTTGTTTTGATTGACTGCGGTAAAAAAGCAAGAAAAAAAATGATCAGGTCTATCTGTGTTGCCTGTAGCCAAAATACAACACTCAACTGAGAGGGGGGGAAAAATGAATTGCATCATACCTCATTTGACACTTATTTTTGTAAGCCTAAACAAATATTATGTAGCCATCATTCTGTTCTTTCAGTGATTACACAGGGTGCGGGTAATTATCCACCCACTCATATATAGGCCATTATACTTGATTTGGACATGGCACAGAGACTGTTTTGATAGCATGCCGTCAAATGCATAAATTGATAAGCGAGAAGCACTAGGACCCAAACAGTCCTTCAGAAATGCCGCCAATTACAGTGTCAAAGTGAAAAGCTCTTTGGAGAGCAACCGGGCTATTACTAAACGACATCTGGTAAAGATGTCTGACACAGGGTTTGAAGTAAGGCATTGTACAGGAGCTCCATATTTAGTTTTATGACGACTGGTTTATGCGTGAATGCCTGCTCATAATTACACCTTGAGTTCTGAGTGCTCTGGGAAGTGGGATGTAGGGTTTATTGAATGGCATGTTCAATGCTCTGCTTTTTCAGTCCTTTCTCGATGTTGCTCTTAGAAGCAGTCATTAATACATTCTCAGAACTCTTTAGTCATTCGCAACACGGCACAAGGACTGTCCATTTTAACCAACTAAATTCAGTCTATAAATAACATACACAACAATTTCTTTCATTGTAGTCTCTTTAGACAATATGTCACCTAGTCAGAACTTACAGAGATTAAAATTATTAGCCTACTGAAATGTTCAGAACCTTGGTGTCACATCTGCTCACTTTTGAAAATTACATAAATTCTTCGGTCTAGACAGCTTTTACTAATATGTAAACTTTCTAAAGTCATTTTGTCCTCCTTACTGAAAGAACTCACCTTGGTGAGGTACCATGGGAAAATACCATCATAGTTTTCTGGAACACCAATTTTAAGATGAGCAGTCTCAGAAAGCAAAATGTTCTGAGACAGCACCTAAAATAGAAAACAATTAATTGCAGAAGTAAATCATGTTGAGTGATAAACATATACAGTGGGTATAGAAAAGAATCATTCTCCATACTCCTTTAAAATAATCACATTTTGTTGCTTTGCAGCCGGAAATAAAAATGGACACAGTTTTTGTTTTATCCAGCTGTATCCAAGTGTTTTATCCACAGAGCTTTCCTGGAGCATTTCAGTCCTTGGTAGTGCAACTGAAGCAAGCAATCAACTATGGGTGGCAAGACACTGTCGAAAGATCTACGGGATAAAGTTGTGGACAGGCACAAGTCAGGAGATAGATAAAAAAAATCAAAGGCTTTATCAATGTCTAGAAGCACAGTGAAGTCTATTATTAAGAAGTGGAATATATTTGTTAGAACATGAACCCTCCCTGGATCAGGACGTCACTCTAAACTGGATGAAAGCTAGGAGGAAACTGGAGATGAGACCAAGAGACATACAGCAACTCTGAAGCAGTTGCAGGAATTTATGACAAAGAGTGGTCATTGTGTGCATGTGACAACAATATTGCAAGAAAAAAGCCACTCCTCAAGCCTACAGCAACTCTGAAGCAGCTGCAGGAATTTATGACAAAGAGTGCTCATTGTGTGCATGTGACAACAATATCACAAATTCTCCACAAATGTGGCTTGTATGGGAGCGTTGCAAGAAAAAGCCACTCCTCCAGAAAGGCCACATGCAGTCACGACTGAGCTTTGCCAAAACACACCTTGAAGATTCTGAGGCAGATGAGACTAAAATTGAATTATTTGGCTTCAACACCACGCAATATGTATGGCGGAAATCCAATACAGCTCACCATCCAAATAACAGCATTCCTACAGTAAAGCATGGAGGTGGTAATGTCATGCTATGGGGTGTTTCTCTGCAGCAGGGACTGGAGCACTTGTAAGAAGGACAAAAGGATGGGCAAAATACCGTCAAGTTCTTGAGGAAAATCTGCTGCCCTCTGCCAGAAAGTTGTCAATGGGAAGAAGGTTTATCTTCTTCAGAGCCCAGACTTAAACCCCACTGAAAATCTGTGGAATGACTTGAAGACTGCAGTCCACAAACGCTCACCATCAAATTGAACTGAACTTGAGCAATTCTGCAAAGAAGAGTGGGCAAATATTGCAAAGTCGAGATTAGACAAAGTTAGTAGAGGAATATCCCAGCAGACTAAAGGCTGTAATTAAAGCAAAAGGTGGTTCAACAAAATGTCATTCTTTTTCCAACTCAGTGATTCAGTTTTTTTTTATGTTGGTGTTATATCTTTCACTTGGATGTTTGCTATAAGTTGCACTGAGTAAATACAGCTGGATAAAAAAATAAAAAAAAATGTTTCCCGTCTTCATTTCAGGCTGCAAAGAAACAAAATTTAATTATTATTTTAAATGACAGTGATTCTTTTCTATATCCACTGTATATAGTCCAGACAAAAAGGCTAACTAAAAGAACTTACACTCAGTGCAATAAACCAAGCAATCAGAGATTCCATCCAGACAACAGTGGCCTTCACGCTTAAGACAAAAAACAACAACATCATTTTAGCATTCAGGCTTTGCATTTAAGTTCAATCTTTTTTATCTATTGATTTGTTAATGTTTATGTAAAAAAAAAAAAATTTAAAGTTTTTTTTTTAAGTTTTTGTAGTTTTTAATGGATAATAATGGATTTGCTTTTAAAGGTCAACTGCGTAAGTTTTTTTTTTCTTCATATGTGGTTCGTCAGCTGCTATATTGTAGTTTCGCTATATAATGTAAATGTAGTCTACATAATTAACTACATAAACATTCTGATCATTTCTTTGTGTGAAACCTTTGTGTGCACCTTTAAGAGAAAAAGTAGCCTAATAGTTTGAGCGAAGAATCAAGCGTGCCATCAGACAACTTTCCCTCCAGTTAATGTTAAACTCGAGTACACCTCATTAATGTAACATCACGTCAGGTGTCGACTTACTTTTGTACCCTACGCTTTTTCAGAGATAGCTACAGAATTTCGGCTAAATGTTGTTTTTTTTTTTATACAAAGCATGATCATAAAACAAGAATATCCGCTTTACAAAACATGACAGTAAATTATGTGCGTGTACCCAGCGATTAGCCTACATGAATGTAAACAAACAAACGAACAAACAAAAGTCTGTATACTCTACAATTACGTCGGGTAAAGAAAGAAAAATAAAATAATAAGCTACACCTTACACAACTATAGCATCTCTAGTCGAACTTTCTAAGAAACTCAATTCAGTTTACTGTAATCAGTGATGCGGTTGCTGAACAAGGCAGAAAAATTACAAAACTCTGCAAATTGACGTCACTGTGGACTGTGACAAAATCTTACTCACGTCTTTGTCTATCTGAACATAAGCTGTTTAATAAAAGCAGCTCTTACCTTCAGTCCACACTTCCCGTGAGCGAAATTGAGAATGGCTTCAAGTGTTAAGAGCATTGCCTCTCTTTTGTACCTGATTAATGATTAGCTTTCTTAATTTGGCCGAGAAAACCTTTAACTACATTGTTTCCTCCAATTACACAACTGACTAGCAAGTCCCTGGCTTGCATATGTATGGGGGAATAAATTACATGGTATAATAGCTTCAAGTCTGAATGTGTGTTTTGTGTTGGTAGTAGATTGAGCACAATGCAAATTAAAATTGTATTTTTAAAAAATATTTTATTATAAAACCAATTGTAAACGTAACAAAATTAACAACTCAATAATATTACATGGCATTAAGTGCAAATCAAATGTTTTTAAAAACAGCTCACAACACATAATTTATTGCTTCTATGTCGTTCATTTACACATGGAGCATAGATGTCAGAATAACCATATCAGACCTCTTATACTGAAACATCCTATTTATATTGCCTCTTGCCCTACCCCACCCGGCCCCCCCAAAAACCCAAACCTATAGTTCAGTGTCTTGGCTGAGTTACGAACCTGCGCACTCAGTTTCAAGTACTAACATTTGATTCCATATGTAATAGCAACAAAAAAATGACTTGTGCTCATCCCTTAGACGTCTGATACAGCTATAGTCCACATAAGGAAAATAACCTATTTCTTTTGCCTTTGTGCAAACACACCCCATAGCTCTCCAAAGGGAACATTGTGATCTGTGCATTTACCTCCTATTTACATGCGCAGAATTTGACAACTCTACATATTAAGGCAGCAAAACACAGAATAATGTAACATAACAATAAAAAGCCTCATGCCAGTCAACATAATCAACATGATTTTGTCAGTTTTGTTTCAAATAGAATCTCTTCTCAGTTTACAAAACAAGTTCATTTTTGTCTGTACAGCTAGACAGTCCTCATATTAGCATGAAAAACACACAGCTTCTGGTCGTGGGTATCAGAGGGCAAATTAGTCCAGTTTTTCATAGCACTGACAGGTCGTGACAGGATTTGGACTTCTGTCTGAAGGCCATCTTCTTGTTCTTCCGGGCCACCATACGGCCCAGGAAACGTTTGGCCTTTTTGCTGATGCTCTCGCGGCGCTTGCAGTTGGCCATCCGGCGGGCGTTTTCTTCCTTGCTGTCCTTGCGCAGGCGAATTTGCCGGACGATGCCCTCGAAGAGGTCGCGCACATTGTGATGTAGCGAGGCTGAAGTCTCAATGAACTTGCAGTCAAACACAACGGCACAGGCACTGCCCTCTAGAGAGACGGGGGAAAAGAGACACACGTGCAGGTGAGCATAAACTCCATTACCAGAGCGATGGAGGCTACGTGTCATCATTACTATGCCTCCTGGCTGTTCCTCAAAGCTCAGGAGACAGGCAAGTGCTTTATCCAAAACACCTACAACCTGACTCCAACCAGAGACTGCAAGGTCTGTTTCTACCTGCCATATTTAAAATGGAGAAGAAGGTGGCTGAAATCTTACCATCCACAGAAACTTCTCGGGACCGCACCAAGTCACTCTTGTTTCCCACCAGGATGATGGGGATGTTTTCCGACTGCCGAGCTCTGCGCAGCTGGATTCGTAGCTCTGAAGCTTTCTCAAAGCTGGACTTGTCTGTCACAGAGTACACGATGATATAGGCGTCTCCCATACGCATGCACTGATCTTTCAGCCACTGGCTGTTGTCCTGCAGGAACAAACTGGATGGTTATGCATGAAAAAGTTATTGCTGACCATAGCTAATGACAATGACATTACATTTTTTTATTTAGTTAACATATTTAACTTGAATCTTTTTCATTACTTTAATGTTTTATTTATTTTAATTTAGTTAAAATATTTTATGGTAAACATATATTATAATATTTTATTTATTTAAATTTAATAACTCTTCATACCCATTGCTTACCTGCTCCCATATGTCATAGAGAAGGATTGACGTCTCCTCATCATCGACCAGGAGGGATCTGTCATATGTGTTTCCTGAAATGAAGGAGCAATACATAATTACACATCTGTAATGTTACACAAGCTTTTAAATCAAAAAAGCACCACATCACTTAGTCTTTCCAGAAATGATTAGTCTGAAGGGGAAATCTTGATTCAAGCCCTTCTGAACACATAAGGACAACATCATTTTATATTTACCTGTTTCCTCGCAGTCGTTACTGTCTTCAACTCCTCCAAATATTCTCGCCAAACTCGACTTCCCAACGCCGTGCTCGCCCAGGAGGACCACCTTGTAGACCTGGGCGTCTGAGTCGCTGCCGGACGAGATGACCGAGTCGGAGGAGTCGGACATGCAGCTGTTCCTGTGCTCCTCTGCCGGACTGAAGCGCATGAGGCTGGACAGCTCGGTTGGCTGAGCCTCGGTCGTCGAGCGCAGCTCTCGGTCGTCCACCGGCATGCTCCTTCTGTGCAAGTTCTGCAGGTGAAGGGGAAACGGCATGCTACCTCTCCTCTTGTCCATGTTCCTCAACTTGTCTCCTTTGTTTAAGGTCATGACTCCAAACCTGTCTGTGTAAAATTATATTATAACAACTGTACACTATAATGACAGTTTGATACAAACTTACACCTATAATAATATTACTACTAAGTTACCAAGAGGAGTTGTAAGATATTAAAACATGTCAAAATGATACTTACATGTGATTGCGTCTACAACGTCTTCCGTTTAATGTCAAAATTCCAGTTATTCCGTTTAACGCCGTTATTCTTCCGCTGAGGGTTTCGCTTATGATCGGTGATGAGACGGATCCCTTATTTATGCGAGTGGCTGACGTCAGCCCGAGGGAGGGCTTGCCTCGGAGAATCACGAGTCTTTCTTGTAGTAGTAACATCATTTTGAGGGAGGGGCGGAATCCAGCGCGTGTGATTCACCATTCTGCGAGGGCGTCCGACAGAGAGGGTCTTCCCTCCCCTGCGCGTGTAATGCATAGACGATGGGCTGATTCATGTTCCGCTTTTACTTCAGCCATGAAATGGCTTCCTCACTGTATAGGTAAAGCAAAGGCGTATAGTCCGAACATAAAAATGCTTCATGAAAAGAAATCAGTGTAGGCTATATATATATATATATTTTTTTTTTTTTTTTTTTTTTTTTTTTTTTTTTTTTCCTCCTGCTAAAATAGAAAATTGCTAGTTTTAACTGGTTGAAGTTGGGCTGAAAATTGCTAGTTTTAACTGGTTGAAGCTGGGCTCCCAGCCTGAGCTCAGCATGCACTGTAAAATTCCTAATTTTAAAGGCAAAACAATGTGAAAATGCTGTGAATTGGTATACTGTAAGATACCTAATCATATATATGGTAAACTATTATATTTCAATGGACATTATAATTTTACTTTGTTTAAGAATTGTGTGTGTTACCCTAATGATCTTTTGCTTTGTTTGTGTGGTTAATTGTGCTCTCTAGTGTGATTATTGGTTTATCACAATGGCTGGAAAGGTCAATTTTGTGGATTTTGATTGTTGCCTACTGTACAGTAACAAGATTGGTTGGTTAACATATTATATGATTTCATGATATACAGTTATGAACTAAAATCACCAAGTCACCAACACGTCACCATGTAATTCTTGAAACATCATCACTTTGAATTTCTATGAAATATAATGAATAACATTTACCCAGGACCAGCAATCAACTGTTTTCCCCAGCATTCAAAAGGTATTACTTAAAGAGATTTTCTGATTAGTATCAGAATTAGTATCCATTGTCAGATTATCATTTATTATGTTTGTTGCATGCTAAAAACATCATCCTATAATTTTCAAGGGCAAAATCATGTTGGTGGAGTACATTTATAGGTAGTTCAATGTTGCCATCTAGTGGTACATGATAGGTATTGTCACGTACAGGCATTTACCAGCAAGTGTATCAACTATCCTGTGCCTTGCCAATACAGTTCTACTTTATTATTCCACAGTTATAATCGAAGATACATTTCCATATTTTGACTCTTATTTAACAGCTGATTGTATAATACGGGAGTTGCATATGGCTATTTCTTCGTTTTATCAGATCTGATTTTAATTAGTCTATTTTTTGCATTAGCACTCAGATTCTGTAAAACTAAATGTTAATTGGTTAACAGTAAGTTTCTGTACTATACACAGTGAAAAATTGTGATTACATTTAATGTAATTTCACAATAAGACTGTTAAAATTACGTTTTCTGGAAGTGAAAAACAACAAGTCATTGTATAATTTACAGTAAAAAACAAAACAATCAAACATAAATTGACACTCCCACAATTCCTTGCATGACACTTCATATTTGATGTTTTTTCATTGAAATAACTGTTTCTTCTTATTTTTTTCTTCTTTTCAGTTGTGTACATTTGGGTTTTATCTTACATGTAATGTTGTTAAATTAATGTTTATTGCATTATTTCGGTATCATGTGTGTTACCGTGATGGTGTTTAGTGCTTGTGTGAATGACACTGTGCACATTCTATATATGCTAGTATTTCCATCCTTAGCTTGTGATGAACGAGGTGATTCGTCATATGACCTTATCATCACCACCTGCTTTTGGTGGTTGCAAGTGTATTACAATGGTACAAAACAGACTTTAGTACTTCAATATGTTGGTATTTTAAGATTATATCAATAAATGAATTACAGTTTTTTACTGTGATTTGAAGTTAAGTCTGTTAAACCTATAATGTTGCTACCATATTTTTTACGGTAAAGTTTTGGCAACCAATTTTACCATTTTATTTTACACTATAAAACATTATATGGTAAACACACACACACACACACATATAACAACATGTACTAATTTATTCAGACAATATATGCTTTCTTTTTTGTGCTGATATATCCTGATTCCTGACATGTCCTTTCCACTTAATGCCCAGACGCACGACAAGCAAACATTTCAAATAAATAATCATAAATCAATGACGAAAATTAATATTTGAAGTTTGGTATTTATTTTCATGACCGGACCAAAAAAGACTTGCAATGTTAGCTAGTCTGGTAATTTATACAAAACAAAACTATTGTATAAGAGTTCTATTACGTGAAATAGTATCTATCATGCATTTTTAATGCATGCTAGTGAAAGCACTTTTGTGACTTGAAAGCCAAGTAAGTATAATCTAAACAGACTCTGCAAACTATTGTGCTTATTATAGTATCTGTGTATCATCAAAATAATGTGTTTCCTGTCATTCCCTGCATCATTTGAGGAGCATCAGCCTAACTTTTGTCTCTCACAAATGCAATAACAGAGTGCACTATAAGTTGGTCTGTGATGAAGGTTAATAATAGCTCATTCTAAAGAAGTTACCCTGCCTACATTAATAAGTGTCTAGTATAAAGATAATGATGTATTATGATCTATACCAGTAAAGCCATGTATTTGATTTATCTGTAGAAATTAAATATTTATACCACAGCAACTACAACAGTTCTACAACTGGCCATAGAAAAATTGGCTTATGGTTAAGTGATTGAACTTTTTTTTAAATTAAAATAACAAAACTGATTTCACATGTTTTGTTTTTTTTTTGGCAAAAACAAGATTTACAAAACAAAGCCGTGCAAATTATTTCTGTTGCACACATTTTCCATTTTGACCAATAAAAAATGTATTTGAAAAGTCCACAACTTTCTAAAAGTAAGGTCATTTTGTACATATTCATAAATATATGACAGCATTACAGAATAACATTTATTTCTGTATCCACGTACTGTCAAACAGAAAAAAATAATATATATATTGGTTCCACATGAATTCTCTATCACCACCGTTTCTTTTCCTGAGACATTTTTAAACTCTACTTGGAAGCACCTCTCACTTTTTAAGCACTAAACAGTCCTCCTGGTCTGGTATTGT